CACATATACACACAATCTTACACACACATATACACACACACACATTCTCTCTCTCTTACGCATACATAAACACACACACACACACATAATCACGCTCAAACACACACGTTCATGTACACACATTCATTCTCACACATACACACACACAAACACACATTCTCTCTCTCTTACGCATACATAAACACACACATAATCACACTCAAACACACACATTCACTCTCAGACACATTCACACTCACTCACAAACACACATACACATAATCTAACTTACAAACACACTCTCTCTCTCTCTCTCTCTCTCTCTCTCTCTCTCTCGCACACACACACACACACACACAGCAGATGCTCAGGTCAGTTGTGATGAGCAGATCTCCTCATTCTTGATTTAAAGTCCAGTTTTCTTCAGCGTTAGTGTGTGTCTGCTTCATTCTCAGTGTTGATCCCACTTTCAGGCTCATCATACAGTCTGGAGGAAGCTGCGGAAAAGAGCAGAGAGACTGGTAAGTGTGTGTGTGTGTGTGTGTGTGTGTGTGTGTGTGTGTGTGTGTGGAATATTGCACAACATTTCTAAATAAAACACAGCATCAGTCACGTGTTTAAGAGCAGAACACACAGACGACTGAAGGTACAGCCAATAAACTACACTTAAACACCAACAGAAATCAAGTGTTCATCAAGTATTATTGTGTTTAATTCTCTGCCGCCTAGTGTTGGTCTTAAATGAGTGGTACGGTTGGGTTTGATACGCTTTTATGGCCGTTTCCACTATGAAAAGGTGTACCGAACTATACCATAGCACTTTTTCAGCACTCTTTCGAAACGGTACTAAAAGGCGGAGCGAGACGGGCAGCTGAACGCTATTGGTTTACAGAGAAACGTCATTCGCCTGCGCAACAAGCCAGAATGAAAACAAAAGAGCCGCCATGTTTGAAATACACAGCGAGAGATTACAGCGGAATTACATATACATTTAATAACGAGCCATGGTCGACCAGCGCTCAAACAAACCTTGCCGTCGTCTTGATGAACAGCCACAAAGCCATGGAGTAGAGCAGATTTACCCTGTGCCTCGTAGTTTTTACGCACCAAAAGGAGACCCTTGCTAATAGCCAACCCGAACCGTACCGTACTGTACCAGTCAGTGGAAACGAGCCAAAAGTGAAAGTTTTTGTTCATCTGTACCAAAGACCCTTCAAGGCAGTCATTTCACTTCACGACAGAACGACAGACTTTCATGCTCAAGCTCTAGTCTAGTCTGACTACGGCGTTAGTTGACTGCAAGTGAGAGGCGGAGCTCAAAAAATAAACCCCGCCCCTACCCAATATTAATATTCAGTTGTAAATACATCCTCATACTGAAATAAAACCTGCAACAACTTCAGGGTGATGCTTTAACATGACAGAATCACTGAAAAACGAGATAAATTCAAACTATTCAATTAAACTATTAATGAAAATATTAATCAATAAAGTAAAATGATAAATCTAAATGTGAATATAAAACTAATTCTACATGGACATTTCTCTGCTCTTACAGGTGGAGCTTCCCTCATCTTCAACAGAGGCTCCTCCTTTCAACACAGAGACTCCACCTGCTGCCTCTGTGACTCCACCCCCTCTACCATAATCCCCGCCCCCTCTCTCAGCATTCAGTGTTTGTATGATATTGTTGAATAAACGTGTTGACCACATGTCTAATACTGTGTGTGTGTGTGTGTGTGTGTGTGTGTGTGTGTGTGTGTGTGTGTGTGTGTTTAAATGTCAGAGGAGCTGCTGATTATTGTAATCCAGCACAGTTTGGGGCAATACGCTCCAGGCTACTTCATTGTGTGTGTGTGTGTGTTTGTGGATTTTGGCATTTTAATTCAGCAAATACTACACTTGTATTCTGTCTATATTCTGATCACACACACACACACACACACACACACACCAGACGCTTCAGTTGAATATTCATCTATAATATGATCATGTTCCTCCTGGAGGTTTGTTTAGATCATTCACCTCATTTATTTTCAACTGCTAGAAATCGTGTTTCTCCATCAGTTTAGTCTTCTGGTTTATAGAGGAATATTGAGCAGAGTTGATCAGCGGTCATTCTCAAATCAAACAGCAGTCTTTAACTCGGTTTATCCAGTGTTCAGTGTACAGCTCTGCAGATGGAGACATATTCACTCAGCCATTCATTAGTCTTTGTTTTGGGTTCTCTTAATTAGTCAGGTTGCCACAGTGTAATGAACCGCCAACAATTCCAGCATGTGTTTTACACAGTGGATGCCCTTCCAGCCAGTACTGGGAAACACCCATACACACTCATTCACACACACACACACACACACACACACACACACACACACACACACACTACAGCCAGTTTAGTTGATCAATTCCCCTATAGTGGAGGAAACCCACGCCAACACGGGGAGAACATGCAAACTCCACATAGAAACACCAACTGACCCAGCCGAGACTCAAACCAGTGACTTTCTTTGCTGTGAGGCCACTGTGCTGACCACTGAGCCACCGAGTCGCCACCGATACCAATTATTTTCTTTCTAAATCAATACCAAGTGTTTCAAGACTGAAATATTTTACTGTGGTTTGTTTTTTAATCGTTTTTTTGTTTTATTAATGTATAAAATACAATAAACAAAATAAATTTTTGAGTTTGTTAATTAGAGAACATTATTAAACATCAATAGGCTGTATAACACATATCTAATAAAGCTTAATGATATTGCACAAACCTTGTTGAATAAATCCCAGTCGAGGTTTCTCCTCTGTAATGTTTAAGTAAATAAATACGGTGTGGCGCTGTCATTACTACTGTTAATGAGATATTCTAACATCAGTGATCGCTCATTAGGAAAACTCGATCAACCTGTGTGACGATATTGATGTTGGATGAGCTGGAGACGGGATGATGATGTGTGATCGACATGTTTTGCTGCAGTGTCCTGTCTTAACTTGATGCTCAGATGTTTAATGCATCACATGTTGACTTGTGGAGGAAACTTGATACTGGACAGGCCTGGGGTGACCAGCTGTTGTGTGTGTGTGAGAGACACACACACACACACACACTCTCTCTTCATTTGAATCGAGCCCAATAGAGCAGCAGTTTTGGGTAGATGAGCGTCTCAGATACGTCAGATATGCTGGATGAAGAATGTTGTGTAATGCAGACGATACAGTTGTCAGGAACATGCTGATGCCTCACACACACAAGTCAAATTAACAGTTTATTTATCACAAACACTGTCTTACGCTGTATGATGTGCAGTTACATGCTTATACAAACACCTGTGACCTTACAAAAAATAAAGAGTATAAAACACAATATTACATATAAAAATAGAAGCTATAGCTATAAATAAGTACAATATAAAATATTAAAAGTAGATATAGAGAGTACAGCTATAGAAAATAAAGCTCTCTTTATTTATATATATATATATATATATATATATATATATATATATATATATAAATCTCAGCTATACAAACCTTCTAAAAAGTGCCTGCTGCAAGAGGAAGAGCGTATCCTACAGGTGGTTTGTCAAGCCCACTCACCTAGAGGCACACAGAACAGAGGTGTGAGCTCAGCCAATCAGCTGCTGTATCTGTGAATCCTCTCCACATGTCCTATATGCTGAATGTTCCAAAATCTGAAATATGTAATAGCTTTTTGTCTGGTCGTCTATGTAAAGCAGCTTTGACATTGTTAAAATTGTGGAAATGAAGATGACTGGACTTACACTACACCCACCAAAACACCACTGTATTGTTTCTGAACCTATAGTGAAGTCCTTGAATTAATCAAAACAATTCTACAGTTGCTATGGTAACAACAACTACAGTAATTGATCTGTTATGATGATTCTACAGTTGCTATGGTATCACAACCACTGTAGTAATTAATCTGGGGTGATTCTTCAATTGCTATGGTAACAACAGTTACAGTAATTATTCGGTTGTGGTTATTCTACAGTTGCTATGGTAACAACAACTACAGTAATTGATGTTGTGATGATTCTACAGTTGCTATGGTATCACAACCACTGTAGTAATTAATCTGGGGTGATTCTACAGTTGCTATGGTAACAACAGTTACAGTAATTATCCTGTTGTGGTGATTCTACAGTTGCTATGGTAACAACAACCACATTAAGTGATCTGCTGCGGTGATTCTACAGTTGCTATGGCAACACGACCCCTGTAGTAATTTATCTGTTGTGATGATTCCACAGTTGCTATGGTAACACAACATCTATTGTAATTGATCTGCTGTGGTGATTCTACAGTTGCTATGGTAATACTACAACTATAGTAATTAATCTGTTGTGGTGATTCTACAGTTGCTTTGGTAACAACAACTACAGTAAGTGATCTGCTGCGGTGATTCTACGATTGCTTTGGTAACACGACCCCTGTAGTAATTTATCTGTTGTGGTGATTCCACAGCTGCTATGGTAACACAACAACTATTGTAATTGATCTGTTGCGGTGATTCTACAGTTGCTAGGGAAACACAAGTATAGTACCCTGTTGTGATTCTAATGAATGTGTTGTGGTTTTTCTGAAGTCGCTATGGTAACACAACAATTACAGTGATATAAACAAATGACCCAATACAACTTCAGGGTATATTTACTACAGTACAGCACAGTTTACTGTAGGGAAAACTAAAGTATACTACAGTATTTATTACAGTTTATCAGTTTACCAGTTAATACAACAACAGTATGCTGGAGAATCCATCAACAGATTAGATACACTACTATAGTACGGTAGAAGTAGTGTTTACTATAAATTACTGTGGTGTTTTTTAATCCTTCATTATTACTCTACAAACTTTAGACAATGAGAACGGTATATTACATGTGTTTGTTCGTGTGTGTGAGTGTGTGATTAGTGTTGTTCCCGCCCTCTCAGTCTCTACACACACACACACGCGCAGGACCCGCGCGCTCTCGCTCCTCCAGCACAGCTCAGTCAGTGAGAGTTTGACCATCAGCGGTTTTCTGCACTCCAGCGCTTTTCCCCCTCCAGCTCTCGTTTTCTCGGATTCTCCTGAAAGTTCGTCCACTGTGGAGAAAATGCTGGTGTGCGTGTCTCTGCTGATATTAATTCACAGTAAGTGCTTTTGTTCCATGTGATCTCCTTAAAGTCTCATTATCTCCTTCAGCGAAGCAGATTAGCCGCTCTCAGTAATGCTTTTGTTTCTGTCAGATGCCATATATATATAGTGTGTGTGTGTGTGTGTGTGTGTGTGTGTGTGTGTGTAATGAAGCAGAGTTTGTTTATCTGCTCCTCAGGTGTTCATTCACCTGCACACACACACACACACTCTGTAAAGCCTGACCCCAGAGCAGCAGAAAGCGCGGTGTGTGTGTGTGTGTGTGTGTGTGCTCATCATGTTATTCAACATTACTCTGGTAAACAGCATGTAAACTCCGGGAGAATATGCTAATCTCATTAAAGCTAATCTGCATTATCAGCACAGCGCTTTGTTCTTCTCAGGGCTTTAGTTATAATCTGGCGAGAAATCCCTCAACATCACTGTGTTAATAATGTGAACAGTGACTTTAGTTTTGAGTTATTAGTTAGATTTAATTCGGGTAATTAAAATATTCATATATAATAAATGAATATTCATATCTAATTATCTTATTAATATGGTCAAAATAGTAGCTCATTTTGCATAAAATATTTTGGTGCAATTTTTAAGAATGCTGTGTTGTTGTCGTAACCCAGTGTTGGGTCAATCTTTTTCAATTGAATTTAAATGACACTTTACATTTTAACCCATTGAGTTGGGGTTGTCCATTTTTGGACTTTTTGTTGGCTTACAATAACTCATTAATTAGATTAGATATATTTATTAGATTCACTTGTATTTAAGTCAAATATGGACAAAACTCAGCTGCTGGGTTAATAATGTTTAAATATATGTTTTTGATTAATGCAGCAGTCTGGTTTGCTTATATTTTATGCAAATATTGGTGCAATTTTTAATTTTTATATGTATGGCTTTGATATATTTGCACTTTAATGACATTAAAGTTCTATAAGTTTCTGTAATAAGAGTTTTTTCATTAACATGAAGTTTAGGAAACTTAAAACCTGAGAATATTAATAATAAATACTGTGTTTAAAAACTCCTCAAAAATCCTGTTTAGTTTCAAAGCAAATTTGGGTCAAATATGCACAAAATAAAAAAAAATATATAGTCTTTGTTCATAATTTTGGGGAATTTACATTTATTTGTATTAATTTATGGCTTGGATATAATTGCAAATTAACAACATTAAAAGTTCTGTAAATTTCTTTAATTAACTTTTATATTAATTTACTGTAAATTGTGAGGTTTAGGAAACTCGTACATCATATATCTGAAAATGAAATATCTGAATAATAATAATAATAAACAACTATGTATTTGCATTTATATGTTGACTATATTTGCAAATGAATAATATTAATAAATTCAGTAAATGTCTGTAATAATATTTGTAGAGTTGCATCATGGGGCCAAAAAGCAAACATCATTGACAGCCGTGAGCCAAAGTAAATATAAATATAGCAAACTCTTTTACATTAAAGTTGCCATGGGTGATTTCCTAATTAATTTCATAATATTAAAAATAAATTGAAAACTTTACTTTGAATCGCATTAACTAATGCAGAATATCTTTTTAAAATGATTACTTATTGCAATAAAAACATAAACAGTCAGATTTGTAACGCAGTGAAGTTCAATGCTGACCACGCTAGTCAAGCAGAATCTATGTGTCGTGTGTACATTTTAAACACAATCTGATTGATTTACAGCATTTAAATTACACGTTTAATTCCAGATAGCTTTTTTTGTAGCTTAATAATAAAACAAACAAATAAAAGGTTATATTACATTTGAAATGACAATCTAAACACTCTCAGATGGGATGGGGTGCCAAGTCAAAGGTTATGAGCCAACATTGAGCTCCAGTTTGGGCAGATCATCTGAAAGTAAACCCCAGCAGCAGCACACTGTGGTATTTCTGTGATTAACCCTGGTATTTGTGAGGGAATGTCCTGGTGCTGCTCCAGGAGACCACATGCAGAGAGTTCTGGAGATGGGTTTGGGTTTGGGTGGTCATCTTCACATTCTGTGCATCTGTTGATTCTGGCTGCGCTTTAATAACGCGGTCCATTCTGCACAAACACACCGAGCTCCATCAGATCCCAGACACACTTGTGATGAAGTGACGTGTGTGTGTGTGTGTGTGTGTGTGTGTGTGGGGTGTGTCTGTACCAGCTGTTCCAGGCAGAGTTTCACACACACTCATACACACACACACACACACACACACACACACACAGAGGGTCTTTGTTCTTTGGGTCTCTTGTGCTCCACAAACTTAAAAACACACACTGATCAACACAACAGCGAGATCAACTTAACTTATTCACACTGTTGTCAAGTTTACATGATGTCCAAATAATCCAAAGTGATTTCAGCACATCTCTAATCATGATAGTGTTAATAACTCATCTCTAATAACTGATTTATTTTATATTTGTCATGATGACAGTAAATAATATTAGACTAGATATTCTTCAAGACACTAGTGTTCAGCTTAAAGAGACATGTAAAGGCTTCACTAGGGTAATCAGGTTAAAGTTAGGGTAATTGGGCAAGTCATTGTAAGGCATATATTGTGCAGCACTAGTGGAGAATCGTCTGCTGGGGTTGTTGTTGATGTTTGCTGGCGTCAGTCTCTGGAAGGCAAAGATGAGTGCAGATGTGTGTGTGTGTGTGTGTGTGTGTGTGTGTTTGCTGACTCAGGACATCAGCCCTGACAGGTGTGTATGTGTGTCAGAGTGTGCATGTGTGCCTGCATGTCAGTGTGTGTGTGTGTGTTTGAGTGTACCTTGTATTCCTCACATTGTGGGCACCAAATGTCCCCACATGTATAGCAATACCAGTACATTTTTGACCTTGTGTGTTCATTTGTTTAGGAAAGACTCGTGAATCAGATGAAAATGTATAAATGCACAAGTGTGTGTGTGTGTGTGTGTGTGTGTGTGTGTGTGTGTGTGTGTGTGTGTGTGTGTGTGTGTGTGTGTGTGTGTGTGTGTGTGTGTGTGTGTGTGTGTGTGTGTGTGTGTGTGTGTGTGTGTGTGTGTGTGTATGTATGAGAAAGAGTGTCCGTGTAAGTGTGAGATGGTGTATGAGTTTGTCAGTGTGTATGAGTGCCATTATGTGTGCGTATGTTTGTGTGAGTGTGTGTGTGTGTATCTGATCTTAATGTATGCTCAGTGAGTGCATGTGTGAGCTGCATGTCAGTGTTTGTGTTTATGAGTGTAAATGCGTGTATCTTCTTGTGTGTGTACATGAGTGTATGTGTGTGTGTGAGTTTTGTAATTGAGTGTTGAAGTGTGTTGAGTGTATATGAGTGTAAGTGTGTGTATCTCAGATGTGTGTATATATTTGTTTTTATTAGTGTGTAAGAGTTTGTATAATTGACTACTAATTATTGTGTGTGTGTGTGTGTGTGTGTGTGTGTGTGTGTGTGTGTGTGTGTGTGTGTGTGTGTGTGTGTGTGTGTGTGTGTGTGTGAGTGTGTGTGAGTGTGTGTGTGTGTGTGTGTGTACACATGAGTGTATATGTGTATGGTATCTGGTGTGTGTATGCATTATATATATATATGTGTGTGTGTGTGCATAAGTGTGTGTATATGAGTTTTTTTTAGTGTGTTTGTGTAATTGAGTACTGATTAGTGTGTGTGTGTCAGACTGAAACAGTGTGTCCATCAGTGTGGATTCCTCCTCAAACACTGCATGATAAACTGCAGGTACAAGGTCGAGTTCAGCAACACACACCTGATAACACACTCCTGCTAGAAATCTGCGTTCACAGAAAGAATCTTCATTTCTCCACCGCCACGTCGATCCAAACATGAAGCAGTGTGTGTGTTAAAGAGCAGCAGGAACACTCGTCTAAACGTCTCCTTCTTTATCTTAAGAGTTCAGAAGTTGCTGCAGACTTTAATTTCAGTATGGAGACATATTTATAACTGAATATTGAGTAAGGGGGCGGGGTTTTATGTCTGAGCTCCACCTCTCGCTGTTTATTCTGAACAAACTAGTGGTTGAAGGGGCGTGGCTAGGCATACATTTAACCCAATCAGAGAAGGACTGTCATTCTGCAGATGGGCAGATTTGGTTTAAAGATTAACAAACTAATTTATTCATTTATTTAATTATTAATTATTTTATTGATTAATTTGCATAGATTAATTGTTCACTTTAATTTTTTTGTGTTGGCAAAATAAACTATTATAAATATTGATCTCAGGAAGACTTTAATTAAAAAATTAGGCATTTAATATAAAAAAACAAGTACTATTGGAAAATAAAACTTAAATAATATAGTGCATATAACCTAACTATTGGTTTGAGGGGCGTGGCTAAGCATATTTCACCCAATCAGAGAAGGATTCCAGAGTGATTTTGATTAAAGGTGACCAAAACATTTATTCAGATCATTATTTTTTTTAAGACTAACCATTTGTGGAGCAGCATGGTGGATCACTGCTGCCTCACAGCAAGAAGGTCGCTAGTTTGAGTCTCGGCTGGGTCAGTTGGTGTTTCTGTGTGGAGTTTGCATGTTCTCCCCATGTTGGCGTGGGTTTCCTCTGGGTGCTCCGGTTTCCCCCACAGTTCAAAGACGTGATGTAGGGGAACTGATCAACTAAACTGGCCGTAGTGAATGAGTGTGTGTGTAAATGAGTGTGTTTCCCAGTACTGGGTTGCAGCTGGAAGGGCATCCGCCGTGTAAAACTTATGCTGGAATAGTTAGTGGTTCATTCCGCTGTGGTGACCCCTGTTTAATTGAGGGACTAAGCTATGAAAATGAATGAAAGGTTTTTTAGATGATGTAATTTGATGTTAAAAGTGGAAATGCGCGACTTTACGTCCTATTAAACATCCTATTTAATACATTTACAAATATAAACTTTGACACTGGGAGGGTAGAATGTAAATGTCCTTGTAAAATGGCTTTAATAGTATTTGTGAATTTGTAAATATTCATTGCAGCACCAAAAGTGTATTGAGGTGATGTTCAAGTATTGCACAGTGAGTCGGTATATTGATTATTGGGACAGGTGTATTTGCATATCTTGCAATGTGACTATTGCGTATGCGCACACTGTGATATCGATGCTGAAACTATTCATATTGTGGAACCCTAGAAAGAGTCTTAAAAGGTCTTAAAGGGTATTTAATTCCCTGCTTCCACTATATACTGTATAATAAGCCGATCTGTAATGACTGATAGAGTCTGAACTGCTTTCATCACAACACAATAGGCGTGTGCTCTGATCAGTGCCATGAACTGCATCTCCTGCGGGTCGCGCTCTTCATTGCGCTACACTCAAAACACAATCAGAGACAGGAAGGCCAACAATGAATGTCATGCTATTCAGGAAGGGAAACACCTGCTTCCTCTTCCTGTGCGTTAAATAGAGCCAGCTTTAGCCACAAACACACAGAAGCTGGAGAGTATTTGCTACAGGAGACGCTGATAATGCAGTGCTCTATGTTTAGACGTCTGTATAGGGGTGGTTGATCCCACTGGGAGTCTTCAGACACAATAACACATCAGGCTCTTTAGAAATACAAGCCTCAGAATACCATATATTAAACAGGCTTACACCATTTAAAAGAGAAAATATCTGTATAGCAAACACTGGCTTCATGTCAACGTGTACAAGGAAGATGTGTCTCTGAAACGCAACAAAATTGGGATTTACTTCAAAACTGCGGCCTCTAATATATTTCTAATATATATAAAATGTATCTTAATAATGCATTTCAGATTCATAAAACTGTAGACAGCGCCCTCTAGTGGATTTGCCATGTGAAACGTGCAACAAAATGTATTGTCAGTAACATATTTCAGATTCACAAAATGGTGACAGCGCCCTCTGCTGGATTTGTTGTCTATAAAGTACAACAATACGCTCCCTAAGTTACGTATTACAGAATTACTCAAAAGTAAACAGCGCCCTCTAGTGGATTTGTTGTCTATATTGTACAACAAAACGTTTCCTAAGTTACGTATTACAGACTTACACAAAAGTAAACAGCGCCCTCTAGTGGATTTCTGTCCATATTGTATAACAAAACGTTCCCTAAGTATTACAGACTTACAAAAAAGTAGACAGCGCCCTCTAGTGGATATCTGAAACGTACAACAAAACGTTCCCTAAGTTACATATTACAGACTTACACAAAAGTAAACAGCGCCCTCTAGTGGATTTCTGTCCATATTGTATAACAAAACGTTCCCTAGGTTTTACAGACTTACAAAAAAGTAGACAGCGCCCTCTAGAGGATTTCTTATCTGAAACGTACAACAAAACGTTCCCTAAGTTACGTATTACAGACTTACACAAAAGTAAACAGCGCCCTCTAGTGGATATCTGAAACGTACAACAAAACGTTCCCTAAGTTACGTATTACAGACGTACACAAAAGTAAACAGCGCCCTCTAGTGGATTTTTGTCCATATTGTGCAAACAAAATGTTCCCTAAGTATTACAGACTTTCCCTAAGTTACGTATTTCAGACTTACACAAAAGTAGACAGCGCCCTTTAGTGGATTTCGTATCTGAAACGTACAACAAAACGTTCCCTAAGTTACGTATTACAGACTTACACAAAAGTTGATAGCGCCCTCTGCTGGATTTGTTGTCTGAAACATACAACAAAACATTCCCTAAGTTACTTATTACAGACTTACAAAACAGTAGACAGCGCCCTCTCTGGGGTTTGTTTTTTGAAATTACGAAGAAAAAAATCAAAGATAGTGTTATCAAGAGTTTTAGAAAGAGGAAAAAATTGTAAAAGACTTATAACGGCAGCCAGAAGACACAACGTGTTGTAACGTAACATTCGTTTTTCTGTAATTTGCTGCAACGATACAGCTTTTATAAACGTACACACATTTCTATTATTACAGTTGCTGATGACCGTTAAACACATCACAACCGTCCATCTGTGTGCATTCATCCTCATGATGTGTGTTTCAGGCGTCCCTGTGTCTCCCGTCACCGTCAGCAGTCGCAATCCTAAAGTGGAGGTGCACGAGTTCTCAGGTGAGTTTGAGTCAGTTTTCCATGCAGACGTCAGTCATACCTGCAGGATGAGCTCTAAAATCTGTCTCTGTCCACAGACGCAGAGCTCTCCTGCGAGTTCAAGACTGAGAAAGACACCAACCCTCGCATCGAGTGGAAGAGGAAAGACAAGGAAAAAGACGTGTCCTTCGTCTACTATGGAGAACGATTCGTAGGTAACTGATAAAACACTTCATTGCTTAAGACATGGGGTATGTTGAGGACAGGCTCGCTGTTACTCTAATGAAGTGACCACTTGTAGCATGTGAATAGCATAGCAACACCCTAGCAACCTCATTCCTACACTCTCAACACCCTAGCAACCACATTTCACTGGCAATAACACCCTAGCAATCACATTCCAAACACTCATAACCCTTAGCAACCACATTCCAATGTCAATAACACCCTAGCAACCACATTCCAACACCCTTTAACACCTTAGCAACTGCATTCCAACATATAACAGCCTAGCAACGTCAATTCAAACAGTCATATTACCCTAGCAACCACATTTCAATGTCAACCACACCCTAGCAACCACATTTCAAACACTCATAACCCTTGGCAACCCCATTGCAATGTCAATAACCCCTTTAGCAACCACATTCCAACACCCATTAACACCCTAGCAACTGCATTCCAACACATAACAGCCTAGCAACGTCAATTCAAACAGTCGTATCACCCTAGCAACCTCATTTTAATGTTAATAACACTCTAGCAACCACATTCCAAACACTTAGAACCCATAGCAACCATATTTTTAATGTCAATAACACCCTAGCAACTGCATTCCAACACATAACAGCTTAAAAATGTCATTTCAAACAGTCAAAACACCCTAGCAACCACATTTCAATGTTAATAACGCCATAACAACTACATTTCAACACCCATTAACACCCTAGCAACTGCATTCCAACACATAACAACCAAGCAATGTCATTTCAAACAGTCATATCCCCCTAGCTACCACATTTCAATGTCAATAACGCCCGTGCAACCACATTCCAACCACCCATAACCCTTAGCAACCACATACCAATGTCAATAATACCCTAGCAACCACATTCCAACAGCCTTTAACACACTAGAACTTACTTAGTCGCCAGACTGCTCACTTCCTGTAGGGTTGTCATGGCAATAGTCTCTCACACACACTTCTGAATGTGCTGTGTGTTCAGGGCCGTTCCAGGATCGCGCAGATATTGAAGGAGCGACAGTGCGGCTACGCAGGGTCACTCAGGCGGACGCAGGCGAATATCGTTGTGAGGTCAGCGCTCCGAGTGACTCCATCTCACTGGGAGAAACCAACGTCACGCTGAGAGTGCTGGGTAACACTCGTCGTCATCCGTCATGCAGAGTAACGGTGTTGTGCGCCTGTGTTTGACCTGTTTCTGCTGTAGTTCCTCCTCAGACTCCCTCATGTGACGTGCCCAGCTCTGCTCTGACGGGCTCTCAGGTGGAGCTGCGCTGTAGAGACCGACACAGCATCCCACCTGCCGTCTACACCTGGTACAAAGACAACCGCGCACTGCCCATCCGCCATCCCAACGCCACCTACACCGTCAATGAGTTCACCGGTGTACTGGTCAGTAGAGGAAACAAATAACACTCATAACACCCTAGCGACCACATTCCAACACTCATATCACCCTCACAATAACAGTCCAAACACTCATAACACTATAGCAACTAAAGTCCTAATCTCAGAACACCCAATCAACCAGATTCCACAGTCTCATTACAACCCAGGAACTGTATGTCAACACTGTATGTATCACCCTAACTACCACATTCCAAACACTCATAACATCATAGCAACCACAGTCCTATGCTTAAAGCACCCTAGCAACCACAACCCAAAAACTCATAACAACTTAACAACCGTCTTCCAACAGTCGTATCACCCTAACTACAACATTCCAAACACACTTAATGCCAAAGCAACCACACTCCTATGCTCATAACACCCTAGCAACCACAGTCCTATGCTCATAACACCCTAGCAACCACACTTCAAAATCTCATAACAACCCAGGAACAATATATCAACACTTGTTTCAGGCTAACAACAACATTCCAAACACGTATAATACCATAGCAACCGCCGTCCTATGCTTAAAGCACCCTAGCAACCACATTCTGAAAACTCAGAACATTCGTTTATATTCATATGATAATAAAGGCCTGTGCTGCGTTTTGGAATCAACAGAATGCTGTGTGTGTGTGTTTGTGTGTGTGTGTGTGTGTGTGTGTGTGTGTGTGTGTGTGTGTGTGTGTGTGTGTGTGTGTGTGTGTGTGTGTGTGTGTGTGTCAGATGACCTGAACGTGGCGGCGGTGGTCTCAGCTGTGGTTCTGGTGTGTGTGATCCTCTTCCTCTGTGCGTTTGGAGTGTGTTTGGCTCATCGACAGGGATATTTCAGCCGTGAGTCTCTGCTTTTCTCCCTCCTCCAGAAACAGAGTGTGTTTAAGGTTTCGTTCCCACAAAATTCTGCATTGCCTGTTCGTTCACTCTGGTGAGCTCCTGCGGGAGCCAGAGCCGGGGTGGGCGGGGTTTCCGTGGGAGTCAGGAAAGGTTTTTGGGCGGAGTTAACTCCGGCGGAAAAGGGGTGTGAGTTAGAGGGGGGGGGGATATATATATAACCTTATAGCCGCCTTTCCACTGCACACGTCATTTGGACACGACTGTCGGAATACGCCCCCTTGTGGCAGTCGCACAGTATTTTCAGTGTTGTCGTGCACCATGGGAGAGAAGCTGAATCTCTCAGTGTCCGAAATAAAGGAGTGCAAAAGCAAGAGCCTTTATTCTCTGTGCGTTTACATGTTTAATGAATGAAGACTAGAAACTCATAGACCGCTAAAATATTGGAGCAAATGTGGAGACGTTAAAAAATTATATTTTTATTACTTTCTTACTTACATTTATGAACAGAACAGTTTTTTTTATATAGAAGCTTTAAAAAAATAACCAAATAAACTCCTGTTCCTCATCTCGCGCGCACGGACCTGCTTGGACAACACTGGAATACATCATATCCGGTCGGCAGGTCGCATACGGTCTAGTCGCAGGAGTTCAAATATTTCAACGGATCCGCAGCTCAATTCAGATCCGAATTTTCCGCATACGGAGATGATCGGAACTCCATGCAGCTCCCGGACTGCTCTCCATTGGAAATGCATGACTTCCAGTCTGTCACTTGTCGTTTGTCGTGTGCAGTGGAAAGGAGGCTTGAGACTCGTCTGAGTAGTTGATGCTGCTGTCCTGATTCTCAGGTGGAAATACTCGAGTTACATTTCATTTTCAGTCGTTTATTCATGTAAACTTAAAAAATGCAAATGTAAAAACTTGCAGATTTTGCAGTTAAATGAAGTCAGGGAGTGTCCTGAGTGTCCATATCTCACCTCATTTCTCTTTCTGTTTTCTCTCCGCTGACCCTTCAACCCACAGGACACAGAGGAAGGTAAGAGTACTCCATTACCACCTTCCTCTAACAGACCTAATCTGTGTGTGTGTGTGTGTGTGTGTGTGTGTGTATTACTTCAAAACAAATGATTGACTTATTCTAGTGGGAACAGCACACGCTGGCGCCACCTGCTGGTCAGAGCAGTGTACTGCAACAGAAACTGATCAGACGTGCATTAGTATTGACGTTCAAACACACTGCTAACATCACATGGAAAGTGTAACCTATACATGCAGGTATCTTAACATCTGATATCAATAAATATGAAGTGTCTGTATAATATCTGATCCTTGACAAATGATCAAGGCTTTAATGAATTGTGTGATTGTGAGCTCTGCTAAACACGTCCACCGGAGACTATTAACTAATATATTGATTATAATATTATATTATAGCTTTTGATTTGACAAACGTCCAATTAAAACGTCTGCAAACTCGAAAAACTGATCTGAGATCAGGTACACCCTGAAACCGGTTCAGTGATTCTCCACTAGGGGGCGAGCTGAGTGAACACGCGGGACTCATGTGGATCTGATGACGGTATAATAGCGCTGATCGCCCCCTAGTGGACACACACTACAGTCTCATGAACAGTAACTGTGTGTGTGTGTGTGTCTATATGAGTTTATATATGTGTATGTGTGTATATATGCATGTTTGTGAGTGTGTTTATGTAGTAGTCTGTATATGTGTGTGTATAGATATGTGTGTGTGTGTGTGTGTGTGTTCAGGTTAAGCGGCCGCTCTCCTGCATGTGTGTGTGTTCTGCATGAGTCGCTGCACTGCTTTGACTGCAGCAGTGTGTGTGTGTGTGTTTGCAGGTCGTTCTGGATCCCTCATTGTCACGGCGTCACACACATCAGCAGCCAGAATCTGAACCCCAGCGAACACACGTGAGTCCACACACACACATGTACATACACATGTACAGAGAGAGCAGCCCCGTGACGTGTGTGTGTGTGTGTGTGTTGTTCATGAGTGCTGTATATTGTTCACTCTGCTGAATATGGTGTGTGTTCCTCTGTGTGTGTGTGTGTGTGTGTGTGTGTGTGTGTGTGTGTGTGTGTGTGTGTGTTTCAGTCAGCATTCAGGATACAGTCACCCTCCAAAGGAAGTGAGTGAGGATTTCATTTCTTATTTCAGTTATTTCTTATCAAACGTTTTCATGCAGCACGATTAATCTGGAGGAATATTTCATTCAGTTAATGCTCATTTATTATTCAAGTAAATACTCGTTTATAAAAATCTATTTGTTTATTCAGACAACAAGAACATTTAGTCTTTGTTAATATTTAATCATTTTACATCAGTAATGTACGGTGTCTCAGTGAAGCACGCCGGCCTCACAGCAGCAGAGGCGGATTTAAAAACACCTAAAATCACACTGACCCCAAACTGTGTAGTGTATATATACATTTCTATTACATATACATTCTTTCTCCAGATTTTATTAATTGTTGCATATAAATTATTAATCAAATTAGTCGCCTCCTTTGTTTATGTGGAGTTATTTTACTTTAAAGACCCTGAAAGGGAATTACTCTTTGCCATAAAAATGATATTACAGAATCTTTATTTAGGAGCCTGATAAAAACACTCATTTAAAAGAAAACTTCAGACGCCATTTAAAGGTTTTTGCATCTTAAACTCTTCATATATAAACAATTTTAAAAACTGGATACACACATATATTTTATTTCTTCAGTTTTTATTAATTGTTTAATTTTTTTTATAAATATAAAATGTATTTAAAACAACTAATAAAAACTGGAGATTATAAATAATGATAATAAATACACTTTTCCCCAGATTAAAAAAAATTAATTGTTTTATATATATATATATATATGCATTCAATCATCTTTTTTCGGCTTAGTCCCTTTATTAATCAGGGGTTGGCACTGCGGAATGAACCGCCAACTAATCCAGCATATGCTTTACGCAGTGGATGCCCTTTCAGCTGCAACCCAGTACTGGGAAACACTCATACACTACGGCCAATTTTAGCTTGCCCGATTCCCCTATAGCGCATGTGTTTGCACTGTGGGGGAAACCGGAGCACCCGGAGGAAACCCACACCAACACGGGGAGAACATGCAAACTCCACACAGAAACACCAACTGACCCAGCCGAGACTCAAACCAGAGACCTTCTTGCTGTGAGGCGATTGTGCAACCCACTGCGTCACCCCTATATATATATATATATATATTTCTGTTTTTTCTTTTTATTAATATTCATTTGATCAAGAGAGGTCACTTTACAATAAGGTTCTATTAGTTGATGTATTTACTAACATGAACAAACAATGAGCAGCACATTTAATACAGTGTTTGCTGATGTTAGCTATTGTCAGTTCATGAAAACAGTCCCTCATTGTGAGTTCATGTTAACTCAGTGCATTAACTGATGTTAGTATTTTAATAATGAATTAGTAAATGTTGAACTGTCATTAATAAATGCTCTACATGTGTTGTTCATCATTAGTTCATAGTAAATATTTTAACTAACATTATCATATTAAAGTGTGGCCAGTAATGATGCACTTAATATTTGAAAAACATTTTTGAACAGCATTTTGACCAGTCTGCTTCAGCCAATCAGCAGTAAGGGGATGTTGAAAATGGGCGTGGTCTGTCATGTTGTGGGCGTGTTTTTTTGGGTGCTTTTAAATATCCTCACTGTTTGGTAACATTAACATGCAGAATTGAACATGAAGACTGAAATGACGTTTGTTCTGCAGCCTCAGGACTTCAAGCACACGCAGTCCTTCATGCTGTGATTGATGATTGGAGATTATTGGATCAGCAGCGCCTTTAAACCAGTCTGACACACACAGGCCGTGCCTTTATTTCTGCTCAATCATGTCTGTATACTGAGTGTGAGGATGGAAATCAGCAGTTATTGTATATTTTAATCAGTCGTCTTCTTTTGTTTTTTAATAAAACGCTTTTGCCCCCGTCTCCTTTCTACTTCTGAATTCATTCATTTACATCAGGGGTCACCAAACCTGTTCCTGGAGGTCCGGTGTCCTGCAGATTTCAGCTCCAGCCCTAATCAAACACCTGAACAAGCTAATCAAGCTCTTACTAGGTGTACTTGAAACATCCAGGCAGGTGTGTTGAGGTAAGATGGAGCTGAACCCTGCAGGACACCGGCACTCCAGGACTGAGATTGGTGACGTCTGATTGAAGCTGTGCTCTCACTGGACTTTTCTCCCCATAGACTTCCATTCATACACACGCAAATGAATACCGCATGCTCAAACTCTAGTGCGAGCGCAGCTTCACACACTGCCGACTCTCACCATCTCAGACAGTTCATCATTAGTGTTTATCTTTATTAATGTTGTTTAATTCTGTGGATTGAATTTAGTGTTGCTGTAATCGCAGTGATCATTTATCATCTTTTTCCCAGAAGTGTTTTTTTTTTTTTTTTTTTTTTTTTTGGACAGACTAGTGCTCATCAATAACCAATATGGAGATATTTTCATTCATTTTCAGTTTAGTCCCTTATTAAATCCAGCGTCACCACAGTGGAATGGACCACCAACTTATCCAGCATATGTTTTACACAGCGGATGCCCTTCCAGCTGCAACCCATCACTGAGAAACACCCATACACAACCGACAATTTAGCCTACCCAGTTCCCCTATAGCGCATGTGTTTGGACTGTGGGGGAAACCAGAGCACAAACCCACGCAAAGGTAGGGAGAACATGCAAACTCCACACAGAAACACCTACTGACCCAGTGGAGGCTCGAACCAGCGAGCTTCTTGCTGTGAGGCGCAGCATTACCTACTGCACCACTGTGTTGCCATTGATATATATTATTTTATTGAGTCTCTAAATTAAAGATTGGAAACAAAATTTGTAGCTAAAGATGAGAATTTAATGTTAATTTTGCAACTATTTGTCTTTTGTTTTTTTATTAAAAAACTATTTTATATTAGACAAGATATAGACAACCGTTGTATAACTGGAATAAAAATAATAATAATTATACTCCGTTGACATTAATGCCTTCCAGGAGATTTATATTCATTCATTTTCTTGTCGGCTTAGTCCCTTTATTAATCCAGGGTCGCCACAGTGGAATGAACTGCCAACTTATCCAGCAAGTTTTTACGCAGCGGATGCCCTTCCAACTGCAACCCATCTCTGGGAAACACCCATACACACTCATACACTACGGACAATTTAGCCTACCCAATTCACCTGTACCGCATGTGTTCGGACTGTGGGGGAAACCGGAGCACCCGGAGGAAAGCCACACGAATGCAGGGAGAACATGCAAACTCCACACAGAAACGACAACGTTCGAACCAGCGAGCTTCTTGCTGAGGCAACAGCACTACCTACTGCACCACTGTGTTGCCATTGATATATATTATTTTATTGAGTCTCTAAATTAAAGATTGGAAACAAAATTTGTAGCTAAAGATGATAATTTTATGTTAATTTTGCAACTATTTGTCTTTTGTTTTTTTAATAAAAAATATTTTATATTAGACAAGATCTAGACAACCGTTGTATAACTGGAATAATAATAATAATTATACTCAGTTGACGTTAATGCCTTCCTGGAGATTTTTTTTTTCAATGCTTTTAAAAACCTTTTTTAAATGAATTTCTAACAATAAAATATATAAGAATCTTTGGTAAATAACTGTTTATTCCAATAAATCTGACTTTCTTTAGAAGACAAAATAGGAAATAGTGTGAAAGTCTGGACTGGTGTTCAGCTGCTGACACTAGATTGTAAAAGCGCTGTAGAAATAAAGATGAGTTGAACAAAAATAATGCCCCTGATCTGTTAAACAGCACTTGGGAAACAATTTTAAAAATCCTAATCTTGTCTACAACAATGTATATATATATTATAAAGCATTATTTTTACCCAGTAACATTTAAATTATAATCCAAACTCATATGCAACACTCAAATGATAATGCTTTTCAAATAATAATAACATGTCCCACATTGCAGAATAAAAATATTAACAATCACTAAACAAAAGCATTGATATGAAATGAACAAGGTTATCAGACATTAGTGTACTTCATTTATTAATATTAAGCTTTACTGATGAGTTTTTAAATCAAGCCATAGCTTACGGGATCATGAAGATGATGACGCAGTGTTTTCTATAATATATATTCACTCAGCATCACATCCTCTGCTTATCCTCTCTCTTTACATTCTCAGCACATTCATTAGTCGTTTTGTTTTTGTCTGAGCACTTTTAAAGCTTACATTGACCAGAGGACACTAAACTGATTACAGATATTTTAAAGACGAACAGACATAATCAAACCGTTCATCTGTGGACATCAACACGCAATAATCACATACAAGAGCAAGAGTACAGATGCATAACCTGAAGTGCATGAACTGCGCATCACACGCTGATCTTTGAGCCAGAGCTTTTTTATTAAATATTGATGTACGTTTTCAGCAGTGATGAACAGAGGCGCTTCATTTAGTCGTCGTCTCGTCCAGCTTAGGCTCTAAAAACAACAGAAGAAGATCCGTCATCAAGCAGCACTGAACAGACCTGCTGATGTTCAACAAACACTAAACCTGCACAATATAAGAGCTGAGCCTCCGTATCACACTGTGTGCATCTGCAATAGTCACATCACAGGAGGAGACCACTCATTCAAGATGAACACATATTAAATATGATTATTTTGTATGATTAATAGGATGAGGAGCACGTTATTTTACATTTGATTGTTCATGAATGCTGTTAAACTCCACAGAAATCCAGAAAGCAGCTCTTATTGATTCATTTTTGCTTCAGATTCACTGCACAGAATCCTCGCGGTCGATGTAAATGAATGAAATCTGTGTAAACAGAGCTGTATTTCAGTCATCTGCTGTAACGATGCGCATTACACATGTCAGACCTGTGAAGCTGAACTGAGGGAACTTGCTGAGATCTCCTCCTCCATACAGACGCTGCAGTTTAGTGGTTTCCTCCGCCAGATTCTTCTGATACACCGGACCAGCGTCCACTACACCACCAGACGCCCTGCGGACACACACACACACCGTCAAAGTGATTCACAACAATAGCAAAGCACACACACACATAAGCACAAACATACATACAGTACATATACAGTACACACACACACACACACAAAATCAGAGTGATACACAGCAGTGTCTCACACACACATACAAACAAAAGCACAAACATACTCATTTATATGCACACAGTCAGAGTGACACACGCACACGCACGCACGCACACCAACGCGCGCGCGCACGCATGCACGCACACACGCACGCACACACACACACACACACACACACACACACACAAGTTAGTATTGTTGATAAAGGGTCTCTGTCCATTTCTCAGTGAATAGCTGATACAGTTGAAAGCAGTAGTTTACATTCACTCTAAAAAACATAACATAACCATTTTTAATAAATGTCTGATGGTAAATCACTAAACGTTTACTATTTTAGGTCTGTCAGGATTTCCTAAATGATTTAAATTTGCTAAATGCCAGAATAATGAGAGAATTTCTGATTAATATCTTGACAGTCAGAAGTTTACACACATTTCCTTGGTGTTTTTTAGCTTTGCTTTTAAACTGTTTAACTTTGGTCAAATGTTTTGGGTCTCCTTCCACAAGCTTCTCACAATAGTTTGCAGGAGTTTTGGCCCATTCCTCTTGACAGAATTGCTGTAACTGAGTCAGATTTGCTCACACAAGCTTTTTTAACTCTGCCCACACATTCTCTATAGGATTGAGATCAGGGCTTTGTGATGGCCACTCCAAAACATTCACTCTGCTGTCCTTAAAGCACATTTGACTAATTTGGCAGTGTGTTTAGGGTCATGGTCTGTCTGGAAGAGCCATTTGTGGCCATGTTGTAATGTCCTGGCTGATGTGTTGAGATGTTGCTTCAGTATTTCTCCATGATGTTCTGTCTTCATGATGCCATCTATGCTGTGAAGTGGACCAGTCCCTCCTGCAGCAAAACAGCCCCACAACATGATGCTGCCGCCCCCATACTCCACAGTTGGGATGGTGTTCTAGGCTTGTAAGTTTTCCCCTTTGTTCTCCAAATGTAACACTGCTCATTATGGCCAAACAGTTCAATCTTAGCTCCATCAGAGCACAGGACATGTCTCCACACATCAGTCTATTCCCAGTGTCATTCAGCAAACTGTAATCTGGCTGCTTTGTTGTTGATTCCCCCATGTTGTCACACAAGGAAGCAGTGTGTTTGAGCTTTTCCTTCAATACTATTCTACAGTTGTGCCTCACATTAACTCAAATGTTGTCAATTAGCCAATCAGAAACTTCCAAAACCCTGACATCATCATCAGAGCTTTTCCAGAGGCAGAATAATCTTACTGTATGTAAACTTGACTTTCAAGAAGAGTTAGAACAATTTCTCAAACAATCTCTCTCTCATTAAGCAGAACAGAAACACATGTGATCATCCCAACTTACCTTAAAGAGGAAAAGTTTACTCACATTAACATCTGACTTGTTTTAAAATGGTTTTGAGCCTTTGAATGTAAACTTCTGCTGCACACTGTATGTTGGTGCACTTCAACTTAACAGATTTATTAAGCTGTTCATCCAATAAAATAAGAGTTTGCTCACTGAACATCTTCAGGAATAAAGAGAGTATATCTGGATTTTATGGAGTTATTGGAAAGTAAAGTGAGGAAGCACACAAGCAGTGAAGTCAGTTTGTGGACACACACTTGCTCTTGCTGTTGTAGTCTCGGATCTTGTCCAGGAAGAGTTTCTGAATGGGGTCCATGTCTTTGGCCTTGTTGAAGAGGACGGCGGAGAGGCCGATGTTCCTGCGCAGAGAAACGCTGAGCGCTGAACGCAGCAGAGACGACACACGCGCAAATCCACTGTGAAGAGCCATGCTTCTGCACACAGAGAGAGAGAGAGAAACACATGGTTATTCTTTATATATATATATATATATATATATATATATATATATATAGATAGATAGATATATATATATATAGATATTTCTCTTTCATTGTCTATTTTAGTCTTTGTCCTTTATTTGTGTGTATGCATTTGTCAGAACTCTAATTGTGCGTTTTGTTTTTTGCATGTAAATGGGATGAATAGAACGGGACGATGAAACTGAAGGCCTGGTTTTAGACCACAATAACGGTCTTGAGAATGACAGACAGGAGTCCTGCACAGCGGCCACTGGGATTTAGAGACGCTCCTATTCAGAATAGTGTTCAGGTCACTACATGACACTGGAGCAAAACCTTTCCTGACACCTGCAAAACACCCCAAAGTTCTCAATAATATTCAGATCTGGGTACTGTGCAGGCCATGGGACATTTTTACTTTGTACTTTCATGAACTTCCCCTTCATTGAAGCACTATGTGACCAGTGCTGTGTGCATTGCTGCATTTTCATCCTGATACACACCAACACCTTCAGGATACAATGTGTGACCCATTGGGTCACATGGTCCTTCAGAATGGGTCGACAGTTCCTGCCAGTGACCCATCTAGCACCAGTATTGGGCCTATAGGGAATGCTATGATAACCATCAGGGATCTCCCCGCATGCTTCACTCTGGGCATCAGCAGTCTGGGTGGGAATTAACTTCACTCCAAAACATCTCTAATAATGCAACACGTCATTGATTACTCCTATAATTAAAAAGTTGCTATGATATATTGGCATCAAACTAAATGAATTCCCTCGTTATGTGTAGCTCTTTAACTGTCATTAATATTCTTTATTGATGATTTACTTATTGTGTTTGTCGCTTATTGCTTTTTTTTAAGCCAGTACAATGTACTGTAATACAATATAAATTGGATATACATGACATTTACAGTATCAGGGGCTCAAATATCGGACTTTAACCACATGAAGAGTTTTAATATAGCGATATATCTCAGTAGCAGGAGTGATTATATTTGCTGGATTGAGTTTGTTCATTAAAGCTCAGCAAAGGTCACTCAGTTCAGTTCAGCACATTAAACACACACATCTCTGAGAACACGAGTGTATTTCTGAATCTCCTGACTATAATAATCCATGTTTAATAACAGTTTTAATATGTGAAGAGCGTCAGGACGCGCTGATTTAGCGGCAGCGTTCGCGGATTACTCAAACACACGCACGCGCGCAGATCAAACACACTCAACTCCTAATACATAAACACACACACACATAAACATTATAAAATTATATTTACATGCAGAATAAAGACGATGAAAGAAAATCCGCTCTAACCTTGTGTTTGACACCAACCAGCAGACCGACAAGAACAACCGCTTCCGGATCACCGTGGGCGCTTGTGGGTATGACGCGCAGTGACGTAGTTCCGTAACGCTGCAGGGTTGAAGTGAGGCGGGTCTTTAAGTACATCAAGTTACTCAAATGACATCCACACAATATTAATTTAAAATCAGCATATATATTTTAATTTCACCACAGTTTGGATTATTAGTCGTCCTTCAGAGTGAAAGTAAACGTGTGGAGCGCCTCCTGCTGGCGAGTGCAGAACTGCACAGCTCATATATTCCTGAGGCAACATATATATATATATATATAAATATGTGTTAAAAACAGTGTTCACTTCTAAATATTTGATTTCCAAAAGGGTGTATGGTATTATACTGATGTGTGTTTCTTAAATTGGTTTGGGTCGTTTAATTTAATTGTCATTTAATAGTAATGTTTTTTTTTAATTATTATTATTTTTACTTTTTTTATTTTTTTTATTATCATTATTATTCTCATTGTTTTATTTGCTGAACTTTATTTTTTCGACTCTTTTTTTTCTTTCCTTTTCTTCTATTCCTTGCGACTCTTTTTATTTTTTCCTTTCCCTCTCTTTCCTCTTCTACTTACTACTACTATTATTATTATTATTATTATTATTACTTGTCCTCTCCCTGATTTCCCAACCTCCCCTCCTCTTCCCCCTGCCACTTTTATCATTAATGGTATTACTTTTACTTTTGTTATCATTAATATTATCACTGTTCTGACCTGTCCTCCTGTTATCTTTTCATTATCATTAATATAAGTATTAATACGATTATCATTATTAAGGTTGCAGTAATTGTTGTTGTTGTTGTTGTAGTAGTAGTAGTAGTAGTAGTCATCGTAGTAGTATCGATTGTAATTGTATTTTGAAGTAGTAGTTCCTGTAGTAGTTGATGTCGTTGGTATAGTGGTAGCAGAAGTAGTAAAAGTGTCGTTGTAGCAGTAGTAATCGTTGTTGGTGTAGTAGTACCAGTAGTAGATGTCGTTGATGTAGATGTTGTAGTAGCAGTGATTGCGGTAGTAGTAGTAGTAGTAGTAGACGTTGTATTAGTTGTAGCAGACGCTGTAGTATCAGTAGTGGTAGTCATTGTTGTGGTAGTATCAGCAGTAGTAGACATTATAGTAGTAATAGTTGTGGTTGTGATTGTAGTAGCAGCAATAGTAGTTAATCATTATATAGTAATATAAGTAACTTTCTGCAGTAGTAGTAGTTGGTGTAGTACTTGTGATTTATTATCATTGTCATTTATTATTACTGTTGTCCTTTCTTTCTTTTTACTGTCATTATTTCTATTATACATTACTAAGCATAGTTGTTACTTCCTAACTCTGACTGGTTTCTTTTGTATCTGTTTTACTTATATCTGCGAGACTAGATTCATTTATTGGCTAATATTGTTCCTAATGTATGTAATCTGACCTTCCACCAAGTTACCTTTACATGGACACACACACACACACACACACACACACACACACACACACACACACACACCAAACAGTACCTGACTATATTGTTTTTTTTTTGTTTTTTTTTATTGTTGTTTTGTTATGGTTTTTTGTTGATGTTTTTTTGTATTTGTATGATCCCAATTTATGTACCTTTTTGCATATTCTAAAAAAAAAAAAAAATTGGTTTGGGTCATTTATTCAATAAAGACCACGTGAAATCATGTTTATTTTGCTAGCACGTTGTTAGCAAACAATTTATCCACGCAAGTTAATAATCCACTTAAAAAAGTAGTTTGGACCATCTTTAAATAAAATCTTTCACTGTCAGTTTGACGAATTGGGTGAAATATGCTTAGCCAATATGGAGTCAGAAGAGTCTCAATAATAATTCACAAAAAATTCTAAATAAATTCACGCAAAATATGTACACAAGTGTGGCCAAATTCACATGAAGCCAGTTGCGTTGGTTCACTCCCACTCATTAATTCTCTCACAGGGCATCATGGGATAGTGTAGCTTCCATCGAATGCGAACTTCAGAATCTTGCCAGAAGTAGTAGGTCATCCGGGAACTTGCACAGTTTTTCGAATTCTATGGCTGCGTCCGAAACCACCGACTACTCAGTAGGTACTGCATTTGAATTTAAACGTACAGCTCGACCGTTAGAAAAGTGCGTTCTATACAGTATGAATGTGAAAAGCATGAATGGAATTCGCACGTACTACATCCGCCATTTTGTCATGGTCACGTGACCTACCTGCGTCAATTGCGTCGCTTTACTCCCATTCATAAATTCGCTTGCGGGGCATCATGGGATAGCGCAGCATGCATGGGATGCGCACTCTTGAATCTCGCCGGAAGTAGTAAGTCATCCGGGTACTTCTCGCATACTGATTTTCCAATTCTATGAATTCAGACACACTACTCGGCTCGCATACTGATTTTAGCGTACTATATAGTATGGAAGTATGCGGTTTTAGACGCAGCGTACGAATTTAGTCATACTGCTTGGCTTGCACACTGTATTCAGTGTACTATATAGTACGGAAGTATGCAACCTCGGATGCAGCCCATGTCTTTGCTTGAATTATTATTGAGACTCTTCTGACTCCATATAGCCACATCGATAGCCACGCCCCTAAATGTTAATCTCCATGCTTAAAATATAAAAAGAGCACAAAATAAACCCCGCCCCCTACTCAATATTCAGTTTGCAGGATTTGCATACATAAATTCACATGTATTGTTGTATTTTATTTATCAATGATATGACTTGCTTTCATTGTTGCAATGGTAAACATCAGGTCATATCTAAACAGTACAAAAGATGTGCCATTTATAAAATCAGACTGTATGTTATTAATATTCATGACTCTAAATGTGACCATTATAATAAGCTGTAACAGTAACTAAGTTCCTAGGAGTGAATATCCCAGTTTGGACAGCAGAGGGAGACATTTAGTGTGAATTTATGTGTCCATTCTAGACAAAATGGAGGTCAAATGAACCATAATTATGCAAATAAGCAACCAATATGAAGAAATGTAGATGTTGACACATTAAACTGATCAAAAATGGACATCTATGATATTTAATAAATGCTTTTATTGTCCCTTTGTTTATTTATGAACCGATATCAGTTTTATATTTAACTCAGATGCATGTTCAATCAAATAAACACCTGAATAATCCCAAATATTTACAGTTCTAACTGAGAGTAGGTCTGATTTGTGCACTGTAAACAAACAAGGCATGCCAAACGTGGGTCTGTATGTACATTCGAAACTTTATTTATGGAATACAGTGTAGAAAGCGCAGTAGTTTTCCAGTCAAAGCAAACGATAGACAGAGAAAAAGAAGTTTATCGCCATCTTTCAGCACATCTGATCAAACCACAGCAACCCAAAGCATTACCCACAATGCACCGCTGCTCCCACTGACATTCATCAGATAGCCGATTATTATTGATCATCTGTAGATCATTTAAATCAGAAAGTGTCTACAACAAAACACAAGAGGAGGAGTGAGTGATCAACAGACGAACGACAAGATCATTTAACGCTGCAGGACAGATCACACCACATTCAGCACAAGATCACAAGAGATTTGCATGAGCACGAAGACAAATGATCCACTAATATTGGCTTGCGTTGTTAAAGAGGTCATGAAGTGAGAACGCAGAATTCCCTTTATATATTGAGCTTATATACGAGCTCATCAATATTCCACAAGTTTCAGAAATCAAATAAAATCAGCTTCTATTGAAGCATTTCTGACAAAACCACTGGAATGGTGTATATTATGTGGCGTAATAGGGTGGATAAGCCACGCCCACTTCTATTTCATTGCCTGCTGAGCCTTGTTAATATGCAAAACTGTCAGCCAATCCCACTTCTATATCCATCACTGCAAGCTGAGCCTTGTTATTATGCAAAACTGTTAGCCAATCACAGCAGTGGGTGTTCCCTTCTGAGTCGACAGTTGGCCACGCCCACTGAAACTGTGTGTTCTGATAAGAGTCAAAAATGGGGACAGAAAATTTGATTATTTGTAAATATGATTGTGTTTTGATGTATAAATATTGATGATATGATAAGTGGAGCTCAGAGAATAATGTAAAATAAAAACATTAATTAATTAAAAAAGTATCACATGACCAATTTAAACAGATCTGCATGACTGTAATGCAGCAATAAAAATAATATCTCTAGACATGATTAATAATAACGCATTAATTAATATTCAGCACAAATGCAACCAACCATGATAAATACTTGAAATATATTGAAGCCTCCAGACAAAACCACTGCAATGTTGTATTTTATGTGATGTAATAGGGTGGATAAGCCACGCCCACTTCTACTTCACAGCCTGCTGAGCCTTGTAAATATGCAAAACCATCAGCCAATCCCACTTCTACATCACTGCATGTTGAATCTTGTTAATATGCAAAACTCTCAGCCAATCAGAGCAGTAGGTGTTTACTACAGAGTATGTTGGCTCCGCCCACTCAAACTGTGTGTTCTGATGAGAGTCAAAAATGGGGACAGAAAATAGTGGATTATATGTTATTTATGATTTGTTTTGATGTATAAATATGGTTTATAAATATAAATATATTCACATTAATTAATTAAGAAAGTATCACATGACCACTTTAAGTCGAGTAATGTAATGCAGTAAAAAAAAAGTCTGGACCCGGCTAATAAAATGCATTAATTACATTCAGCACAAATGCAACTATGATAAATACTTGAAATCATATTTTAGTTTCATTGCAGTTACAACAACCTGAAGTCAAATAAAAAATTGCAATGCACAAAATAATTAAAACGTAATTAAATGAAACAGATTTCTTGTGATTTTGCAGTGGTTTGAATGCAGCAGGATCTGTTTCTGCAGTGAAACACCAGAAACGGGAGATTTTTACATCTGCGCGCACACACACACACACACACACACACACACACACACACACGCACACACACGCACACACACATGGAGTGACGAACCAACACAAAACCGACTGGAGAAAAACATACAAACATACACAGAATAACCCACAATCCCACCCGAGCCCAACACCTGCTTAAAAAACACAGACAACCACGAGTCCAATGGAGAACGGAAATTAAATAGCTGTTCATAAAGAGGAGGTAAATAAATCTCTCGAAATGCATAGGACGAAAACATTGAAGACAGTAAATGTACATGGACAGCTTCGGCTGGATCCACTCAGCCTGATAAAAAAACAACAACTAGAAATGATATTGAAATAAAAGCACGAATCCGTTTAATCCAGCTTAAAACTATCAAAGCAGAAGCCAATCGAGTTCTCTTTTCTTGTGCAACTCAAATCACATTTCACAAGTTGTACAGTTTAACCCTGCTAACACGCCTCTACGTGAGAAAAGACCCAAATAGCATGTATTTCCCGTCAGTTTTTGTTTTCTATCATGCACTACACAGTTACAGCTAGTCTTTCTTTTTGCGTTACTTCAATATTCACAAACTAAAAAAATGTTTGTTTGTTTTTTTTTTGGCAAAATTCTTTCTTTTTTTTTTTTTTTGGAAAAACAAATCAGAAACAATCAAACAATTTCCAGGTCTCATTCAGAAGGACATCAATGTAAGCACTAGATTTATAGTGATTTTCTGGTCTATGACCGGCGTCACCAAACACAGCACAGCTGCAGTCAGTGTGAGGAGGAAGAGGAAGGAGACGCGACTGACGGAGGAAGTCTCGCACGTTCAGCCCTCAAATACACCAGTGTTTCACTCGTTTAGTAGTGTGAGAGCAGACGGTGCAGAAAACACCAGAACCAGCCCAGAATACACCAGAACCTGGACTGGCCTACTGTAGCAGAGGAATATTATCAGTGATTTGGATTTAATCTGAGTTTTGTGTTTACATTGACCAGTGATTTAAATTGAATATGAATTGTTTATTTACGTTGGCCAGGGGTTTTAATTGGATCTGAATATTGCGTTCAATTTGGCCAGTGATTTGGACTGAATCTATTTTATGTGATTATATTGGCTGGTGATTTAGACTGAATCTGAATTGTGTGTTCACTTTGGCCAGTGATTTGAACTGAATCTGAATTGTGTGTTCACTTTAGCAAGAGAATTGAATTGAATCTGAATAGTGTGTTCACTTTGGCCAGAGAATTGAATTGAATCTGAATAGTGTGTTCACTTTGGCCAGAGAATTGAATTGAATCTGAATTCTGTGTTCACTTTGGCCAGAGAATTGAATTGGATCTGATTTGTGTGTTTAAATTGGGCAGTGATTTGAACTGAATCTAATTTTGTGTTCACTTTGGCCAGTGATTTGAACTGAATCTAAATTATGTGATTATATTGGCTTGTGATTTGGACAGAATCTGAATTATGTGTTCACTTTGGAAAATGATTTAGTCTGAATCTGAATTTTGTGTTCACTTTTGCCAGTGATTTGGATTGAATTTGAATTTTGTGTTCACTATGGCCAGCGATTTAAAGTGAATCAGATTTATGTGTTTGTTTTGTAATATGAATTTGGACTAAATATGAATTAGGCATTCAATAAAATGTGAATCCTACTGAAATTTGCATTATGCATGAACTTAAACTGAATCTGAATTGTGTGTTCACTTTGGCCAGTAATTTGGACTGAATCTAAATTGTGTTCACTTTGACCAGTGATTTGAATTGAATCTGAACTATGTGTTCACTCTGATTGCTCATTTCTGACCGTGATCTGGCCAACGGTGATGTTTGTTGATGTTCTGGCATCTCCTGCACCGTCTGAGGAGGGTTCGGGGAGGGTTCGGGGAGGGTTAGGGGTGACGGTGCTCCATCAGTTGTGCATCTGCTCAAAGAACTTGTAGGTGGGGTTTTCATAGCCGTTCTGCTGCATCTTAGACAGATGACGCTCCTCTGGAGTCACGGCCGCGTCCACCTGTCAATCAAAACATTCAACTCAAATCACGATGTCATGAATTCAGCTCATTTCTAGACCGCGAGTGGAGACGGTGTGAACTCACGCACCTCGATGATGCCGTGGTGGATGGACGTGTACTGCTTCTTCCTCAGCATCACCAGCGTGATGACGATGATGGTTGCTATGACGACGCCTCCGACCATCAGGCCAATAATAGCTCCTTTATTGGAGCTCACGTCCTCCGCAAAGAAAACCTGAAGGCAGGAGACAAAGAGAAAGATCAGCTTTATTCCTGCAGGGTTTTTAAATATATTCATTTCTTGAGCTTTTACATTTACAGTGTACTGTACCCTTTCCCTCACACAACCACAGCGCTGACAAACAACAACAACAACAACAACAACAACAACAACAACAGGTCAATAAACTTGAGTCAAAAGCAGATTTGACCTTGAGGGAACAAACTGTCCCATTTCTGTTCACTGCTGCTGTATTTTGATAATACATTTGAATATGTGTGTGTGTGTGTGTGTGTGTGTGTGTGTGTGTGTTTGTGTACCAGCTTCTGGTGGTAGACTTCACTGTGTCTCTCTTCAGCTTCCATCCGCAGCTCAGGAATGTCATCAGGCTTCAGTCCAGACACTGAAAAATGACCACAGACATGGATGTTAAACATTGA